TTGGTGGGGAGCAACACCTGCTGGAAACCGGGTCCAGCGTCCCATAGATCCAACCATATCCTCACAAATTGGCACAAACTGGGAACCGGGCCCAGCGTCCCATAACGAGAACGTTCAGAAAAGTCATCAGAAGATTCCAGGAAGATGAGACTAGAAACCTACTAAGAGTTTAGGAGCTACTTCAGGCCTTTTTTTTTTTTTTTGGAACTTCAGAATCTTCAGAAAACGACTCAAGAATCCATCATCAGTCCTCTTTACCTCACTCCGGCAAGACTTACTGCAGCAAAGCCACCATCTCTACGGCTGATATGCCCTAGTCCTACTTCTAGCCCCTTCACTAGTAGGACGCGTGATATCTTTCTCTCTCTCACGTCAATCCCTTTCTTGCCCGTTACTGAGAAAAGGTATGGGAATACTCTGCAGAAGTCCTAAAAAAAAAACAATACCCACAAAATCCCTAACAAAACCTTCCAAGGTTCTTCAACACTGTCTTACTCTCTGCCGAGCTCTTCCAGGCCTCACACCCCCCATCCTGCTGGGTTACAGGGCAACACAACTCACCCCAGCTCCGGCCAGCGTCGTCCCAGCAGCAGCCCTTGGTTGTCCCGTGGAATGCCCCCCCAAAGCACCCCCAGATCTCTCTACCAGGCCTCATGCTCCTGCATCAGCAGGTTACAGGGTAACACCCCAGCACCGGCCAGCGTCGTTCTGGCATCGAACAGCCTACATCAACCTTTAGGGCTGCATTCCCTGCCCCCTGGCGATGATTGCTCTCATCAACTGCTCAAGCACCCGCAAAGGTCAGAGTCGAAAAGAAGCACTCACCACATGGTTGCATGTTCTTGTGGACAGACAGAAGAAAATGCCATGCGTGAAAGCAATGTGTCTAAGCAATGTGTCTAAGCATGTGGCTACGTACAACCCACTAAGGTATTCACGTCCATAACACCCACTAAGGACAAGGTCAGAGTCGAAAAGAACCACTCACCATATGGTTGCATGTTTCGTGGACAGAGAAGAAAATGCCATGCGTGAAAGCAATGTGTCTAAGCATGTGGCTACGTACAACCGACTGTGAATGTGTCAGTATTCGAAATATGAAAAGTACCCACCAAAGATGTGAGCGAGAAACTAGACGTTCTAGGCTGCTTAGCTATAACCGGCCTAGAGTCAGGTCAAGCTACCGAGGCCTAGGGTCAGGAAAAATATTATGTCGAATACAACACCAAGACATTCACGTACGAGCCAGCTGCTTATAATAATTGTATTCCTAGGAGACCACTCCCCCCCCCCCCCCCCCCCACTACGGACAAGGTCCAAGTCGAAAGACTGTGGTCGTAATCGCGTCCATCGTACGATTTTGCTGGTTTCAACTTTTATAGAATAAACTCTTCTGGGCACATCATCTTATCCATGTGCCCCCACTGGGCGTCAACTTTCGACGGACAATGTCAGGGGCATGCTGCAAAGATCACAGCTGAGAAGGGCAATAGGCGAATACCCCTATCTTTGAGGGGTATCCAAAGAAATTCTGCATCTTTCAGGGGCACCTGACATATTTTCCCTAACAAAGAGTTAATTAATAAATGAACAGTAAACAAATGGTGAGGAAAAGAAGAGGAATTTTGCACTTTAAACCTCAAAGATGCAGTATTCCTGACTTGCCCTTCAAAGGTGCAAAAGCCCTCAAATGCTCTTCCAAAGACGGTCCGGATTTGTTGAATACCCGTAGCCGTAGCATCCACTGAACCTGACATGTTGTCGTTTGGGAGCCCGTTCAACTTCGCCATATACCCCGGTGCTTCTGTACGCACCAGCCGCTGGTACATACTGGTAGGGCCCAGTCATTGGAGGCCCAGGGGCGTGGCACAAATTTGGATAGGTCCGACAGGGGCGTGCTGCAAAGCTTGCACAAGTGCAGGGCCTGTGAGGAATTACAATTCGTCGAGGGGCAAATCAGGATATACCACATCTCTTGAGGGGCAAAAAGAAAAATCAGCTAAAAAAAACATCCTTGAATCATGTCAACAATGTTTTTTTTTTTTTTTTTTTTTTTTT